AAAAAACTCCAACGGTTGTATAAATTGCAGCGCACGTGCAAAAAAAAATTACAATCTTTAAAGCTGTCTGATACCGGAAACCCCCACTAACTGAGAATTGGAGACGTGCTTATGAAATTTCGCACAAAAACATATGCCTACCGGCTGATATTCCAAAGCTTTTTTAAAAGTAGGACACAAGAAAAAATAGAGATTATACTGATTCTTGTGGCCGAAATCCCATGAAAACCTCAAAGTCCTTGAAAATTTTCGTTTTTAAATCAGTATTTAATTTTGGTGCAAAATCCCCTCCCTTCTTACAGAACTACTTAAATAAACCCTTTGAAGAAATCGAAATCCTTCAAGAAATTTAAAGAAAAGTTCTAGTGGACAATTTCAAGGAAAGTGAATAAAGAAGATTTGAAAAATTTTTACAGGAAAATTTAAAAAGGAGAGAAAAAGCAAATATGCCCTAAGGGTTTGGGGAATAAAATTCAAAAAATTAAGGGAACTTATCAAAGATTTCCCTGAAGCTGAAATTCCTGATTTCAAAATTGCTGGGACTTAATTGGAAAACACAAAATAATTTTTGTCTAAAAAGACAACAATAAAACATGGTAACTCCTAAACTGTTTACTGTCAAAGGTATCACAATCTGTACCTCTGACAGTAAAAATACGATATCACCCAATTACCCTAAAGGGTTTAAAATGCTTATGCAAGATGCATGGAAAACCCAAAAATTGGATGGGGTGAGAACTTGCCCCTAGAAATGAGTCAAACATGGGGTGAAAATCCAAGGGGTTTTAAACAACCATCAAATTAAAATTTTCCCCCACAAATAAGGGCAAAGGGAAACAATCACTTTCATGTTTCGTGGCGTCAACCAGAGGTTATGGGGCGTAGCTTTCATGATAATGCGAAGAAGTACACTAATTATTCAAAGGCCGGGTACACCCTTTAAGGTCAAACATAACACAATGAATTACAGCATTATGTGGTACAAAATTTGCTGTCTAAACTCAACAAAGTACTTGATCATCTCACTATTGAAAAACCGGATCTGGATGATAATGAAGCAGTTTTCCAGTGGTTTAAAAATAATAAAAGTAAGTTGGGCTATGTACAGAAAAGCCAGAAAAAAAAAGATCAAGGGGATTATCTCTTTTCCCGCTCTACCCAAAGAACCGCTGACATGTTGTCACGTTGGGGCCCACTCAAAAATTTGTGAAAAAAAATTATGGCTCCCGGACCCAACTGGCTCTTAATGAAAATAACTGGCCTCCAAAAGGCCACTTATGCAGAAGAAACATTTTGCTTGAACACAGCAAAAAAAAATTGTAAATACTGCAACACAACAGAAAAAGCCCCTTGATGGGATTAAAAAACTTATCTTTGGGAAACCTTTAAAAGTTACGCTCTTTTTTTTAAAATTTATTAAAGGAATAAAACCCGATTATAATGTCCTTTAACCCATTTTTAAAAACTGGGGGAAACAATACAGAAGATTTTTCTCTACAAAAAATAATTTTTGGGAAAAAAACAAATAAAAACCCCAAAGAAACCTGTTAATTAATTTTTTAGGACTTTATCCGACCAGAAAAGTTTAAGATGTCGAGGAAGAATTATAATTCTTCACTACCTAAAGAAGCCATACATCCAATATGATCCCCAAAATCATTTCTAACAAAACTATTTTTCAAAACCCCACATAAGGTTACAGGTGGGGTACTGATCCATTTGTCATAACGACAATCCACGGGTACCTCAAGGGCACAAAGGTGAAAAAAAAAAAATAAAGGACTGTATACTTGTCGTCACTAGAATGCGAGTATTCTATCCAGGTCCGCCTCCATATCCCTCTGAAAGAGTTTTTCATGTCACTCCATTTGAGGGGACAGGTGAGATTTTCACTGGACTAATAATTTTTAACCAAAAAAGTTGGAACAAAGTTCCCACAAGGGGTACACTGTTTTGTTACGTGCTACAAAGAGCGTACTCTAGAATAGCCACGACATGTCGGAAACCTTTATCAAAAATTTTTCAGACGGGGTGGGAGGGAGAAAAAGGGATTCCCAACTGATGATTTCAGACAAAGCAACGAACTTTGTTCTGTGCGCTTTAAAGCAAGACTTTGATCAACCAAAAATACAACAGATGCTGAATCAACGCATTTTTCCCTTGGAAACATTCCCCTAAATCTCCCCTGGCCGGGGATTTTTTGAAAGAATGACGGGAATGTAAAACGTTGTTTAAGGAAACTCTTTATCGTCATAATGACTTAGAAAAATTCCGTACAGTTGTGACTATAGAAAAAAAAGAGTCAACAACAGACCTCTTACTTATGTTTTCCGTGACTGGGGAATTTAAAAAGTGTTAAGTCCCTCATTTACCCATGGGAGAAGGCCGAACCTGTTCCTCCCTTAATGATAAAGAAATCATAAAGGATCCTATTATTTCGAACCCGAGACTCAGACTTAAATTCAAACACCCTTTAAAAAAGTGATTGAACGTTTTGGAGAAAAATTGGGGAGAAGACTTCTCGCCTTATTTGGGGAACTTTTATGGAGTGGTGTTCCCGAAAAACATAAGTCCTAAGACCTGGGGACAAAGGGAATTTACAATGATGGTCCCGAGGTCCCAAGGCCACTTGGAAAAATTTGACCTTTTACCTGACAAATGGGCTAAACAGGTGTTTGTTTTAACAAAGTGATGAATAAGCGGACAAAAAAAAACTAGTGCCGTTAGAATTTCCAGTTTTGAAAACAAAATTATGATTCTCCAGAAACCACCAAAAAAGCGTTCAGAAAAGACAAGCACAGTTTGGGGCGAGTAGGGAAAAAACAAAATTAATGTTTAAAATGATGAATAGTTTTACCTCAGCGAACCCCTCCGCCCCCCAGTGTGGGGAAAAATTTTTTTTCCCGGAGGGGGGTATCACCCCCTTTAGCACCCTTCACCCCTTCACCCCTTTCGCCCGAGGGGCCCACCCTCTCAGAAGGGGCAAATATCTTGTTTTCTGCTAATGGAGTAAATTTATCCCCGATGTAGTACCATATTCGACCCCGTGGTCAAGCGACCGCCACTCCAGCGGTCCAGTGTTGCCAAGTGTAGTTTAAAAAGAGACAGTCCATCTCTTACCTTCGGACAATTAAAAAAAATCCTCTTCCACTTTTTTTTCATGGAAAAATAGTGTATATTGTTTTCTTGCTTAAGACAGCAAAACAAACATTCTGTTTGTTTTTATAAGGAAATGGAAGGAAGTAAAAGTACTAGGGCAGGGTTTTCCTTTGTTCTAGGGGAGTAACAGGGGGGGTGCTGTGGCATCTTCAATTACTTTTTACTTACTGAGATGCACTGATGCCAGGATAAAAAACAAAAGGGAACGACTTTGGGGGTTGTGAACAAAGGTCCACAAAACCGATAAACACTTACAGAAAGTGTGATCAACTCTTAGTGAATTGTGGGAAAATTAAAGATGAACGTGAACAACGATTTTTCGATCCAACAGAGTGAAATGTGACATTCTTCAAAAACACTATCTTCAATCAACCAATGGATTCCGGGCATAATTATGGGTTTAGATCTAACCCAGGGAAGTGTTCTAACTCTGATTTACTACATTGACTGGCTTTTAGTATAAAGTCGTGAGTTATCACTTATCATAAACCCAGGGGATATGCCCGAACTTTGATCCCCAAAACGTAAGTTTGTCGCAATCAGTGAATGAAATAGCTGACTAACACTCCAGAGGGAATTTATTGTTTCATAAATATCTATTTCCCCATTGAGGAATGATTTGGACAGCTTCTCAAGACTGTCTGCAGGGGGGCTGTGCAGGCGATGAGCTTCTTTCTAAGTTAAGTTTTCCCTAACAAAATGTATAAACTTAGCTGGTAATACATTTTTTCAAATCAATGTTAAAAACTAGCAACAATATTAAAACCCAAAAACAATGTTAACACCTATATCTGGTTTTAAAACAAATAACAATATTAAAACCAACAAAATGTTAATGCCCAAAAAAAACACTCACAATTTTAAAATAAAATAAAAATTTTAACACCTGCATCAAAACACCCAATACATAATAACACCCAATAACAATGTTAACCAATTTAACAATGTTAACCCTAGCAAAGTATTAACACGAGAATAAGGGTTTAAAATTATCCAATGTTTAATACTAGCAACAGTGTTAACACAATAACAAGTTAAACAACCAAACAAATTTTCACTAAAAAACAATTCAAAACCATAAAATGTTTTAACACCACATCAGTGTTACCCTCGATCTATTTTTTAAAAAACAGCAAAGTTAACCCAACAAAAGTCATCACCAGCGCAATGTTTAACACCAAACAATTTGTACCGCACAAATTTTTTTCACCACAAAAAAGTTAAACCTACACAATGTTATCCCAACAGCAATGTTAACACACACTCATTAACATTTAAATTTAAAACTTTTTACAAAAAAAATAAATTATAATCATAATAAATTTTAAAAATTTCAATAAGTTAAATAAAGATTAGTTTCTATACAGTAATTATAAAATTAAAGTAAACAAACTCACCCAGACTGAATATCTTTTAGAAGGGTTTTTAGAAATGGTGTTGTCCATGATGGTGTGGTGGTCCATCTGAGGTGTGTACAATGGGGGGTGAGGGGGGCCCGCAGTAGCCAGGGGAGGGGGCCTAGGGCACCCCAAAGAAAATTTCCACATTTTTTGGGGCCTGAGGGTTTGGAAGAGAGAGGAGCTTTCCACGTTCCACGAAAAAAAAAAAAAATTCTTTTACGTGAAAAGCAGATATTTTTTGACAGTTCGGAGACTTTTAGGTTGTCAGGGGATGGAGCCATGGGCTCGGACCAACCAGACTCTTGGGGGGAGAGAAAAACTTCCCCTGCAGGTGCTTCAGGACCCCGGCCCAGTACCAGGCAGCAACCCGCCACTTATCAGAAAAAATTTTGGAAATTGTTCATTCTACCTTGATGATTGATGCTCTCTTTTAACACTCCTCTATACTGCAGGTGAAAACAGGTGTACGTGTGCTAGTTTAAAAGGGGATACTGTGTTGGTGATGGGGGGTATAGTTGTCGCAAGTGGTTGGGAAGACACAGATGGTGTCTTCATCACTGGTATTGGTGAAGATTGCAGCTGGTGCTTGAGTGTCATCACAATATGCAGAGCACTGAAGTAATCTTGGATTCCCTTGTGTGGTGCAGAGTAGCACTCCTCGATGCCTTGCCAAGTCAATATTGGCTTCAAACTGAAGAAAGCAGACATCATCTCATGGTAAGGTATATCATGTTTGTTACAAGCAGATATTAGTTCATCTACGGTCTCTTCTTCAAGACTCAACTGGTCACGTGACAAACTCTCTAGTGATGTTGCGTATATTATCTTCAATATTTCTTGAACACTCTTCTGTAGAGTACTTTCATTCATCACCTTCATCTCTGAACAGTTAGTTAATCTCTCTAATAACTTACTTTGACACATATGATGTACTTTATGGTAGAGTTCTGTTTGTGTTATGGTTATGTTTGACTTATCAGGTTCCTGGTCCAAGATGTAAATGAAAAATGTTAAATTCATAGGTAGACGTAAGTGATCGTGAAGTCCTGCAACTTTCCTCACCTTGTTCACTAGTTCATCAGTGTTTCTGTTACTGTTGGTGAGATTAATTATCTCCTGGTGAATCTGACGCACAAACTCTTCCAAACGATCTTTATTTATGCCTCGTAGTTCAGCATTAGTCACACCATAAGCTTCAGGGATCGTCAACCTGAACATTTCAACTACTTCAGGTCTTGTGGTGCAGACAAAAGTTGTGTTAACAGAGTTTTGGAATTCCAGTAAAAGACTTTTGACTAATGTTCTGGAGTTGTTATTGAGTTCATCCAGACCGTCAACTAATATTATTACTTTACAAAGCTTTATTATTTTAGGCAAAATATTTCTGAATTTTGCTGAAACATCTGGTAATAGTTTTTCTAATAGATGGTGGTAGGAGTTGATGGTATTGTCCCTGCACTGCACCCACAGTAAGAGGTCATAATTATCTAAACCCTTCATGTTACCTTGACCACCTTGTATCCATTCCTCAGTTATTAGCTTAACTAGAGTGGTCTTGCCACTGCCTGCAACACCTTCAAGCAACAGTATTTGTGGTCGTACACAGGAACCTTGTTGTTGTGTGCCAGAGCTCACACTTGATGCCACAGATGTTGTCTGGACAAGTGAGAGAAGGTCTCTATAATCTTTGTGTTCATTTTTACCTCTACGTCTTCCTTGTTTAACTTCAATATCGACAAAAATTTTGTCTACTTTAAGTTGAAAATTGTCGTTGATAAAAGATACTGGGTTAATATTAATGATTTCTCTTAAAATCTTCTCCAGTTTATCATAACTATCTTTCATGATAATTTGTTTTATATCATCACTACAATACTTCATAATATCTTCCTCTCCAAGAATCTCATTCATGATGTCGTCCAGTTTATCATTCATCTGCTGGATCTCCTTGTTAACTTCATCCTGGTCTCTCTCATACCTCTCTCCAGATGTCGTAAGACAACCAGTTAACAACTCCCGAAGTTTTCTCATTTTTTCAAAATAATCTTCATCAGTAACTGCAAGTGGACCGTGAACAGCATCGTTCCTCATGTTGTTTATGGCAGTGATGTAGTACTCCATTTCTTTACTCTCAGTGATCCATATTGGATCACTGAGAGGAGCAACATTCTCACAAGCAAGTTTGATGCTCCTACACAGCAGTGGAACATCAAACTCTCTTCCATTTGGACTTCTATTAATGAGTTTCTTCTGTGTTTTGTTAAACCTTCGTTCTTTACTATTGAGTTTTAAGTAGTTTGCAGATGATGTTTGTTTCAAGTTGCTTAAATAATGATCAAGACGTGTAGTATCAGGTTTATCTGGTGTTCCCCAGCAGAATGTGTGATGCAACACTCCTCTACCACACTCACTCAAAGCTTTCATGATTCCGAAGCCATTATTTTCTTCCTTAGTTATTACAGCCATGACACAGTAGTAGCAAGATGATGTTAATAATGTTAACGATTGTATTGATGTTGCTTCTCAGATACTGTTGCTGATAGTGTTGTTGTTGCTTCTCAGATACTGTTGCTGACAGTGTTGCTGTTGCTTCTCAGATACTGTTGCTGATAGTGTTGCTGTTGCTTCTCAGATATTGTTGCTGACAGTGTTGCTGTTGCTTCTCAAATACTGTTGCTGACAGTGTTGCTGTTGCTTCTCACATATTGTTGCTGACAGTGTTGCTGTTGCTTCTCAGATACTGTTGCTGACAGTGTTGCTGTTGCTTCTCGGATACTGTTGCTGACAGTGTTGCTGTTGCTTCTCAGATAATGTTGCTGACAGTGCTGCTGTTGCTTCTCAGATACTGTTGCTGACAGTGCTGCTGTTGCTTCTCAGATATTGTTACTGGCGAAGTTGCTTTTGCGTCTCAGATATTGTTGTTGCTGACGTAGCTCCTGATATTGTTGTTGCTGACGTAGCTCCTGATATTGTTGTTGCTGACGTAGCTCCTGATACTTCAACACAAGACCAGGAACCTGAAAAAATAAAAGACATGATTTGTAATATGTGTAATATTGTAAGTGTCAGACTGTAACTTGTATAATATTACAAGTGTCAGACTGTAACATGTATAATATTACAAGTGTCAGACTGTAACATGTATAATATTACAAGTGACAGACTGTAACATGTATAATATTACAAGTGTCAGACTGTAACATGTATAATATTACAAGTGTCAGACTGTAACATGTATAATATTACAAGTGTCAGACTGTAACATGTATAATATTACAAGTGTCAGACTGTAACATGTATAATATTACAAGTGTCAGACTGTAACATGTATAATATTACAAGTGTCAGACTGTAACATGTATAATATTACAAGTGTCAGACTGTAACATGTATAATATTACAAGTGTCAGACTGTAACATGTATAATATTACAAGTGTCAGACTGTAACATGTATAATATTACAAGTGTCAGACTGTAACATGTATAATATTACAAGTGTCAGACTGTAACATGTATAATATTACAAGTGTCAGACTGTAACATGTATAATATTACAAGTGTCAGACTGTAACATGTATAATATTACAAGTGTCAGACTGTAACATGTATAATATTACAAGTGTCAGACTGTAACATGTATAATATTACAAGTGTCAGACTGTAACATGTATAATATTACAAGTGTCAGACTGTAACATGTATAATATTACAAGTGTCAGACTGTAACATGTATAATATTACAAGTGTCAGACTGTAACATGTATAATATTACAAGTGTCAGACTGTAACATGTATAATATTACAAGTGTCAGACTGTAACATGTATAATATTACAAGTGTCAGACTGTAACATGTATAATATTACAAGTGTCAGACTGTAACATGTATAATATTACAAGTGTCAGACTGTAACATGTATAATATTACAAGTGTCAGACTGTAACATGTATAATATTACAAGTGTCAGACTGTAACATGTATAATATTACAAGTGTCAGACTGTAACATGTATAATATTACAAGTGTCAGACTGTAACATGTATAATATTACAAGTGTCAGACTGTAACATGTACTCACTTATTTGTACTCACCAATTTGTGGTTGCAGGGGTCGCGACTCAGCTCCTGGCACTGCCTCTTCCCTGATCGCTACTAGGTCCTCTCTCCCCATGCTCCATGAGCTTTATCATATCTTGACTTAAAGCTATGTATGGTTCCTACCTCCACTACATCACTTGCTAGAATATTCCACTTCCTGACAACTCTATGACTGAAGAAATACTTTCTAACATCTCTTTGACTCATCTGAGTCTTCAATTTCCAATTGTGACCCTCTTGTTTCTGTCCCCTCACTAGAACAGCCTGTCTCTGTACACCTTATCTATTTCTCGCAGTATTTTGTATGTCGTTCTCAGGTCTCCTCTGACCCTCCTGTCCTCCAGTGTCGTTAGGCCGATTTCCCTTAACCTTTCTTCCTTAGCTCTGGAACCAGCCTTGTTGCAAACCTTTACACTTTCTCTAATTTTTTGATGTACTTGACAAGGTGTGGGTTCCAAAATGGTGCTGCATACTCCAGTATGGGCCTGACGTAACATGTGTAATATGACATAAGAGCATAAGAAAGAAGAAACACTGCAGCAGGCCTACTGGCCTATGCGAGGCAGGTCCAATTCTCCCACCGAGTTGAACCAATGCCTTGACCTAGAGAGGTCAGACATGTCATTTAAGGAAGGAGCACGGAATCTGACCTAGTAGCACAAGCTAGTCAGGTCAAACTCACACCCACCCACACCCACTCATGTGTTTATCCAACCTATTTATAAAACTACACAACGTCTTAGTGTCTATGACGGTACTCGGGAGTTTGTTCCACTCATCCACAACTCTATTACCAAACCAGTGCTTTCCTACATCCTTCCTGAATCTGAATTTTTCCAATCTAAAACCATTGCTGTGAGTACTGTTTATGTTACATATTTTTAGCATGCCATTTACATCCCCTTTATTAATTCCTGTTTTCCATTTATACTCCCTTCCTGTAAGCTTTTCCACCCTGAACTGTGTACCTCTTCAGTAGAGGAAAGACTGTGCTATAACTTAAATTGCCAGGCATACCATCTAAAGGGGACAAAAAGATACAAAACATCCAGGCCATGGGAAAACCTGGGTAGCCACAGCCACTCAAGAGGGAGAGGTTTTTTAGTGCCAGGAAGGAAAAAAAACTGGCAGGAAATGGCAGAAATCGTACACCAAATCCAGTCATTCCTGGAGTGGAACCACAGTCGATGGCCTCCACTCCAAACCAACAGATACAGATACTAATGCCGGAAAAAAAATCCCCCCCCCCAGTACCAACAATACCACCAGTCCGATAACATTCTTCTTTGCAAATATACAGGGTCTAAAGCCAGCAACAAACAACAAAATACCTTTCATCCGTGGACTGCTTGCAGAGGCAAAGGCAATGTTCGCGGCTTTCACTGAGACCCACATAAAGGATCACTTGGACAACGAAATATGGATCCCAGGTTACAACCTATACAGATGTGACAGAGTGAACAGACAAAAGGGGGGGGCTTGGCCTGTACATTGCAGAGTCACTTGTTTGCACAGAACTGCTTAATACTTCAAATGATGTTTACCTGGAGTTTACCTGGAGAGAGTTTCGGGGGTCGTGGAAGTTTTAGCAGTAAAGGTCGAGAACCAAAACCTAGTCATTGTGGTAGTCTGCAACATCCCAGCAATTCCAGGAACAGCTGTTAAAAATTGACCACTGTCTGGAAAATCTTCCAGCTCCTGCACCCAACATCTTGCTCCTGGGGGATTTCAACTTAAGGCACCTAAAATGGAGGAATATAGCAAATAATATTGTTGCAGTAATAACACCAGGAGGCAGCTCTGATGAAAACTCACACTCACACGAGCTTTGAAATCTCTGCACAAAATTCAATTTAAACCAGCAAATAATAGAGCCTACTAGACTGGAGAATACACTAGACCTCATCTTCACTAACAATGATGATCTGATAAGAAATGTCACCATATCAAAAACAAAATACTCAGATCACAACATAATTGAGGTTCAGACATGTATGCGTGGAGCCCCAGACCGACATAATGAGACTTGTCACGAGGGAGCATTAACCAAATTCAACTTCAATAACAAAAACATAAAGTGGGACCAAGTAAACCAAGTCTTAACCGATATAAGCTGGGAAGATACACTAAGCAACACAGACCCCAACTTATGCCTAGAACAGATTAACTGGGTGGCACTCGATGTATGCACAAGGCTTATTCCTCTAAGAAAAAGGAGGAGTAGATGTAAAATAGAAAGAGACAGGCGCTCCCTTTACAGGCGACGGAAAAGAATAACAGAGCGGCTAAAAGAGGTCAATATATCTGAAATGCGTAGGGAGACACTGGTCAGAGAAATAGCAAGCATCGAACTTACGCTAAAAGAATCCTTTAGGAGTCAGGAATCGCGGGAAGAACTAAAAGCCATAAATGAAATCGAAAGTAACCCAAAGTATTTCTTCTCCTATGCCAAATCAAAATCGAGAACAACGTCCAGTATTGGGCCCCTACTTAAACAAGATGGGTCCTACACAGATGACAGCAAGGAAATGAGTGAGCTACTCAAGTCCCAATATGACTCATTTTTTTAGCAAGCCGCTAACCAGACTGAGAGTCGAAGATCAAAATGAATTTTTTATGAGAGAGCCACAAAATTTGATTAACACAAGCCTATCCGATGTTATCCTGACGCCAAATGACTTCGAACAAGCGATGAATGACTATGCCCATGCACTCTGCCCCAGGGCCAGACTCATGGAAAATCTGTGTTCATCAAGAACTGCAAGAAGCCCCTATCACGAGCCTTTTCCATCCTATGGAGAGGGGGCATGGACACGGGGTCGTCCCACAGTTATTTAAAAAAAACAGACATAGCCCCACTCCACAAAGGGGGCAGTAAAGCAACAGCAAAGAACTACAGACCAATAGCACTAACATCCCATATCATAAAAATCTTTGAAAGGGTCCTAAGAAGCAAGATCACCACCCATCTAGAACCCATCAGTTACGCAACCCAGGGCAACATGGGTTTAGAACAGGTCGCTCCTGTCTGTCTCAACTATTGGATCACTACGACAAGGTCCTAAATGCACTAGAAGATAAAAAGAATGCAGATGTAATATATACAGACTTTGCAAAAGCCTTCGACAAGTGTGACCATGGCGTAATAGCGCACAAAATGCGTGCTAAAGGAATAACAGGAAAAGTCGGTCGATGGATCTATAATTTCCTCACTAACAGAACACAGAGAGTAGTCGTCAACAGAGTAAAGTCCGAGGCACTACGGTGAAAAGCTCTGTTCCACAAGGCACAGTACTCGCTCCCCATCTTGTTCCTCATCCTCATATCCGACATAGACAAGGATGTCAGCCACAGCACCGTGTCTTCCTTTGCAGATGACACCCGAATCTGCATGACAGTGTCTTCCATTGCAGACACTGCAAGCTCCAGCGGACATCAACCAAATCTTTCAGTGGGCTGCAGAAAACAATATGAAGTTCAACGATGAGAAATTTCAATTACTCAGATATGGTAAACATGAGGAAATTAAATCTTCATCAGAGTACAAAACAAATTCTGGCAACAAAATAAGCGAAACACCAACGTCAAAGACCTGGGAGTTGATTATGTCGGAGATCTCACCTTCAAGGACCATAACATTGTATCAATCGCATCTGCTAGAAAAATGACAGGATGGATAATGAGAACCTTCAAAACTAGGGAGGCCAAGCCCATGATGACACTCTTCAGGTCACTTGTTCTATCTAGGCGGGAATATTGCTGCACACTAACAGCACCTTTCAAGGCAGGTGAAATTGCCGACCTAGAAAATGTACAGAGAACTTTAAACGGCGCGCATAACGGAGATAATACACCTCAATTATTGGGAGCGCTTGAGGTTCCTAAACCTGTATTCCCTGAAACGCAGGAGGGAGTGAT